TATTCACATTAAATACAGCTTTTAACCCCCTTATTTCTTCACTACAGTTTTACTGCTTTCATAGATATTCAAATAAGATGAAAAAAGGACACAGTAATCAGTTTTGGACCTACATTTTAGCATTTAAATGTGAAATAATGTGGTTAATCATGGGTTCCTCTTTTTTTTTGTGCAGGTTTCACATGGCAGCAGACCACGGAGCTCTCACCTGTTCACACCTGCAGAGCTATGACCCAGACCGAGCACTTACCGACTACATCTCCAGGCTGGAGGCTCTGCAGAGGAGGCTGGGCAGTGTGACATCAGGTAATACACCGCTCCAGTAACATCAACTTTATTTAAAGGAAACATGTTTAAAATCTGAATCACAATGCACTGAAGATCTTTGGTATCATATAAAGTTTAGGTTTTTGAAGGTTTCCTTGTATTACAGCTTTTTTTTTTTTTTGCTTCTTTACTGGAGTAGACTACTAAAAGGAAAACTGCTTTAATTCGTTTAAAAGAACTGTGTGAAAATGTTTGTATTTATTATATTTGGCTCCTCTTGGTAGTAATTTGATCATTACTACCAAGTAATGGTAGTAATTATTCATTACTTGGTAGTAATGAATAACTATTCATTCGAAGAGCCCCCTACTCTTTTTTTTTAATCTTACTTGACCAGTTTTAGTTTTCCCATGTCTGACTTCCCATCAGGTGTTTCACAACTGGTGAAGTTAACTGATGAATCAAGCTCTTACTGAATCAGGTCGTGAGGATCATTTCAAATCTACAAAGGCAAAAAAAATCAAGTCCTTTTGCTCATTTTTCTAAAAGAAATAGAGGGGTATTCCAGCTAAAACTGGCATAGTTGTGTTTGCTGATGAAGATTCTCAGTCATCCAGGTCCTACTCATTCTGTAAAAATTCAAAAAATATCCACTGGACTCCTCAGAGAGGTGGCGAAACGTCTTCAAATCCTGGAAACCAAGTCCAGTGGATATTTTTTGAATTTTTACAGAATGACATAGTTATGTTTGTCATATATGTCCCTGCATTTATTTATATATATATATATATATATATATATATATATATATATATATATATATATATATATATATATATATATCGAAGTTAGTGCATCAGTTTGCTTCTGGTAAAATTGTATTTTAGGGAGCCTGTGAATGCACAAATCTCACAACAAATTTATAAAAATGACATACTGTGCACTCGTGTTTTTTTTTTTTTTTTTTAAACAATTTAAGCCGTAGGGTGGTTATTTATGCCACCTTAGCAAATTTCTAATAAACCATTAAAAGGCCTGAATAACGAGTTTGTACCTATGAGTGCCTTTAAAACTTCTGAGCAGATAAATCTTGTCCTTTTGTTACCTGAACCTATTTTCTGTGTCTGGTGCCTCCCTCAGGTGCTTCTTCATACACTCAAATGCACTTTGGCTTAAGAAGATAGACGCTGACACACGACTTTGGCTTGAAGAAACTCAGTTGCCTTTTCTTGTGCAGAGCGCTATGCTGTTTCTTTTTTTTTTTAAATCATCCCGCTGTGGACTGTCTCTCTCCACGTGGACCAAAACTCATTTTTCTATTGGCGTACGACGTGTTGTATCCAGGCTTTGTGTCGCCAGCACTTGAAACACAGCGATGTTTGTAATTTAATCTGCCTCTTTGTTGTGGATGATCTTCAATCGTGTATATTTGTCTGATGCTAATTTAAAGACGTTTTGTGATTAATTTATGTTTGTTGTTGCGTGGGTGGACAGTTGTGTTGAGAATGTTTGACGGGTGAGGGGGAGTTTTTTTTTTTTTTGTTAAGGAGGCTGCTACTGGATGTTCTTCACTACACTGTGTTTTGTTTAGACCGGGCAGACTAAAAGGAGACATTTGTAGAGAACGTATTTTTGTAAAGCGTAGGAGTTTTGAATTTTTGGGGTATTTTGTCTAAAACTGAAATAAAGAGGACTACATTATATCAAAGCTGTTTGCATTGTTTTGTTTCTGTTATAATTATGTTTTCTGATCATTTTGAAGACAATTAAAGTTATCAGTGTGCTAAAGACCTTTCTATGTAGAAACTTAAATGTTTCTTAGGTGAAGTTCAAGGTTCAACATGATACATGCAGCATTTACTGCATCCTTCTGTAAGATATCTGTTTTGCTTTTATTTTGCAATTAGATGTTTCAGAATATTGAAGTCATTCAAATATAAAAGACAGCCTAAGGAAATACAAGAGAAATACTATTTTCACATGATGACGATGAGGATTTTATGAAGTGAAAATCTTTCCACACCAGCCTGCCCTAAGAGAAAGCGTATAGTTCCCTTAAACCCAAAAAATGTTTCTTTCTGGAACCATTTAGCCTACTTCATCCTGTCAGACAGGTTCCTGTGAAGTGATTAATAATTCTTCAGATTTTGCTGTAATATGACTAAACCATTATGTTTTCAAACGGGAACAGTTTAGTTTGGATTGCTCTTTTTCCTAAAAAGATTAAAGATTAAAGGTACCGGGAGTCCTTTTCTAAAAACATTAGTTTCTCAAAAAATCAACTAAATATAAGTTAAGTTGAAATAGTATACAAGTTCAAATATTCCCACCATAGAAACCAGTGGCGGGCGGTGCATCTGGTACCTAATCCTTCAGTGGGCACCCTTCAACTTTTACTTCTTAACCCATTGACATCCGAAATTTATTTATATGTGTGTTTATATATAACAACATAAACTGTTAGGGATCAGTTGTAACAGAAACAAGAGATTTCCAAAGGTTCCTGTTAGCTGGATGTTAATAACTGGCAACAAAGGGTTTGTTGCTTATTTGCAATGATGAGTTTCAATGGGTTAATATCACCACTTTCACATTTTAAAAAATGAAACCGCCAACAGTATTCAAATAAGAAATGTAACAAGCGCAGGTATAACCCAGAGGAAGTTTAGTGTGAGGGTGAATCCAAAGATCAATTAAGCAAGAAGCCCAGTTAAGAAAAAGGCAAACCTCTTCTCTATAACCAAAGCTCTGCCACATTTACATCATCAGTAGTTGTTCAGACTTAATATGCATCTAATTTCTACATAAAATAGAGCATAAACCAAGAAAATAAAATATATTGCACTTCTGTCTTTGTGCAGGAAGTCTTAGTATCTCTGTTTAGTATCATCATTGAGGCCAGAAAAACTTTTAACAAAATGGAATTTAAAATGCTGAAATCTGACTGGACAAAAAAATATAGCATTTACTTAATGTAGTTGAAGCAGCCCAGCCAAGAGGAACGCTATGAAATTAAGAGAAATGAATGTTTGGAATAAATTAATACAGTTGGATAGAAGAAAAGCACTATTGGAAACTAAAAGTTTGGTTTTAAACCTTAAAACCATTATTTAAGACAACATGTATACCAGTGATGAGGGAATGTAAAGTTGAAGGTAGTTCATTTAAAGTTGGCTATAAGTGCTGAATGAGAACCAGTCTTTAATTGTGAAAACAGCTGATTTTCTCATTTAAGCAGGTAAATTCTCTAACTTATATGTGTTTTATTGAGATGTTATGTGTTAGACTAAAAAAAATGTTATATCACGGAAAAAGTGATGTATTGCTCTGGATTTTATGTCTGTGTCAAAGGATAAACAGTATTAGTACATATTATTAGATTATTTTCATTTACTTTATTTTTTCCACATTTACCAATTATATGTTACCTTTTGCTGGTCTATTAAAAAAAATATTAATACATAAAAGTTTATGGTTTGGATGTGACAATATGGTAAAAGAAAATGGAGAGGTTTTGGCAGGGCATGGTATTTACAAATTTAAAGGTTTTCAGTCCTGTCATTGTTTTTTATATATGAATAAAAACAAAAGGAATGATGGAAAAGTAGGACGGAATTTAATGTATTAATTAATAAGATGAAGGGACAGTAGATTAGGAAATAAGAGTTCTTATAAATACAATAATTTTTGCCAGTGAGTGGGAATGAATGGAAAATAATTCAATTGTTAGGAAACTAGTTGTCTGATTGGATACAATCTTGTTTAATCCAACTTTTAATTTGAAAATCTACCTAGTGGTGGGGGAAAAAATCCACTTTATTTTTATCAAAACATTTTGAATATATCAGATTGAAAAACATTTGGCAAACCATCACTTTCCCATCCCGTGTTATATGACATGATTCTCTCCCAGTTCTTATAATATACAAATTCCACTGTTTCACTGAGTTAAACAAAAACTTTGAAATTGACTGCTTCCATTTTTTCTCTTTGCTAATCTTCAAAATATAAAAAAGTAAGTATTTTTCAATCAGAGGAAATAACTTATTATAAAGCATATCTTCAGTCAGAGCCACACTTAAAAACTGGAAATGTGGAAATTATACAAGCTTAACTTCCGTCCACAGACAGTGAGTCTGCAACATTGCAGACTCACTGCTGCAAATCCTTAGAGTAAATTACACAACTACAATTTAATCAATTTATTTTGAGGCTTTTCACATATTAGGCCAGTGAGTGTGGAGTGGAAAAAAAACAGAGTTCTCTTGGCAGGGACTCGTCTGTCCCTGACAAGAGGCTTTAAGTCATTATCTCAGCAAGACAATTTTCCTTATGCATGCATGACTTTACGCTCAGATTGATTGTGATCCTTCTAAAAGATTATTAGATGTGAATAATTTCTACATGGGATTAATTAGGTATTAAATGTGCAATCTGACCCATGTTTTTTATTGTCAGCAGAGAAAAACTTATTTTTCAGATTTAAAAAGCGAAGTGATTGCAGAAAAACTGTTAAGGAAAACCTTTATACTCAGACTATCCTGATTAAAATTAAGGAGTTGTTTTCCTATTATAAGGCACATTGATTTCCTTTCATGAAGGCTCGCTTCAGTGTTAAAGCTGGGGCTTCGGATGCTTTCTGCTGAGATTTTGGGTTGGAAACAGTCTTCAGACAAAATACGGGTCACACTGAAAGCATTCAGAGTGCATTCACCTATATTTTCTTGAATTCAAGTCCCAGGATGTCAGAGCTTTGATTAAAAGCAAAAGAACAACATAAAAGTCTTTGATTCCCTCATCTGTGCTGCATCTCTCACTGCTTCCTCCTCTTATATCTGATGACAGGGTTATGCGGGGTGTGAATCATGGTTGTGTAGTTGATGGTGGGGAAATATCCGTCCACCAGGTCGAACTCGTACATGCGCAGCAACGTGGACCAGATGGTCTTGATCTGGACGTAGGCGAAGTTCTCCCCAATGCAGCGATGGCGCCCTGTAGGTATTACAGGAAAAAATTATTCAACTTTGAATTTTAAGTTAAATAAAGATTTTTCCTCTCAAAGGGAAGAAGAAGACAGCATAAATGCTCAGTACTGTCCTGCTCTAGATAACGTTTTATATCCCAAACTCATGGAAAGAGCTGTAAAGGAAGTCATATATAGCTCAAACAAAACCTTTCCCAAACATCTTACACTGATAAAACCGAAAACAATAATAAAAACTGTAGCCTTCCAGGTGTGCACCTCATCTTTAACAAAATGATCAAATGATTGGTTTCAAAGTCATGATGGTGGTTTTTCTTACCGGCACCAAATGGTATGTAAGCAAACTTCTCCCCACCGGCGGCGTTGTCGTTGAGGTAACGCTCTGGGTTGAACTCCATCCTCTCCACCCAGGCGTCTTTCAGACGATGGTTGACTGTTGGGGAGACGCAGACCTGGTGGCCGACAGGAATGGTGTATCCTGCAGCAGTCTGAGGGGAAAAGTTCACACTAGTTTTAGCTCCAAACCTTCTTTATGAAAACTTCCAGAAAACAATTCAGAATGCAAAATTTACCTGAGGTGTGCGAGCCATCCTCATCATTGTCATTATAGGTGGGCGGAGCCTCAAGGTCTCTTTCAGACAACGCTCCAACAAGTTTAAATCCTTCAGCTGAAAAACATCAGGAATCATAGCAATAAAGAACGTTTACTTCGTGGGCAAAACATATTTTATACCAAACTATGACAACCTGAGTAAATACAAAAAATAATTATTTGGAAACAAAAGATATTTAAACCAACCTGGCCCTACGTTAGGAGTAATTGTTCTGTAATCCTAATAACTGGCTATCATTTCATAGGGCCACCAAACAGGGAGAGCCAGCAGAGCCACAAAATTACCCATTTTTGATTATTGAATGTAGCTCTATTTGGAGATTTAACACTTGTTAATAATAAATGTAAACTATTTTAACTACCGTATATTCTGGACTACAAGCCACTATTTTTCCCCAAGCTTTGAACCATGCAGCTTATATGAAGGTACAACTTTTTTGTTGATTTTGAGGGGAGGGTCAAAGTTGGAAATGAAAGAATAAGGGGCTAAATCTAATTTAGCACAAGAACATGCTAACAGCAGGCATGATGGATAACAAATGTCCCAAATTCACACATTTTGACATTTAATTGTCTCATTAAAGCTGCCGAACCAGTGAAGAGACTGAAATAAAGAGCCAACAAAGCCTCATCTTTCAGTAGAAGCTCTTACTGCTGCAAGCTAACATGCTAACTGGAGCTAGCATTCTTCTTCGTCCCTATTCCAAGGGTTATATGTAGAGCTCCCCCTACTGGTTTGGTGGGAGACAGTTCAGTAGATATCAGCGGCTTATAGCCCGGTGCGGCTTACATATGTACGTTTCCAGTGTTTTGTTGTTTTTTTTAGCGGGCGCGGCTTATATTGAGGTGGGCTGTATAGTCCTGAAATTACGGTATTGAATAATATTTTCTTAAATGCACAGTTTATTGCAGATGTAGCATCATCATTCCCCAAAGAGGGAGGGAGAAAGTATGCCAACATTTATCAGCTGATTGTGTCAGGTGATGTACAAAAAACATTCCTGCACAGCTGCTGACCACCTGGCACTGCTTATGAACTACTTTGTTAGCCTTAACAAAGAAAAAAAATTTGGTTTAACACACCTAATTCATGAT